AGCCAAGACTTGGAAGCAACCTAAGTGCCCATTGACAGATGAATGGATAAAGAAGATGTGTTATATGTATACAATGGAATACTACTCAGCCATAAAAAGAAGAAATCTTGCTATTTGTGACAACATGGATGGACCTTGAGGGTATTATGCTAAGTGAAATAAGCCAGACAGAGAAGGACAATTACTGTATGATTTAACTCGTATGTGGAAGATAAACAACACATAGATACAGAGAACAGATTGGTGGTTACCAGGGGGGAAGTAGAGGAGAGGGGAGGGTGAAAGCAGTAAAGAGGCACATGTATGTGGTGATGGATGGCAATGCATCAGGATGTATACCTGAAATTTACACAGTGTTATAAATCAATATTACCTCAATAAAAAAAAGAAATGTCCAGGAGTTTTCCTGTAGGGGATCACTATTCCTGTCAACTTATGCTCACAAGGAAACTAAAATAAAGAGTTATGCATTTAAGAATGTATGAGAAAAAAGACTTGGAAACCAGAAAGCTGGCCTGTGTTGCTTGTCATCGTATTCATCTCTATGAAGCAGTGATTCTCAAATAATCCCCTAAAGCAGCTGCCACAACCAAGAAGCAACTTTATCATCTTGTATTTTTAGTTTAAAAACCCAGGCACATTTTGTTGCATCCTTTCCACAAAATGTCCAGCTTGTTTTAACCTTAAAAGTAAAGTGTATAGGCTTTTTTTTCATTACGTGGCTTTCACGGGCATACGTGGCATATCCCTTGTGGGATGTGTGTCTCCGTCTGAGAGCACAAGGGGATGGCGTCTCAACACACATCAGGATCTCATCACATCACTTAGCTATGTCTGCATATTATGAATAAGAAACTAGAAACTAAGGAGAAAAAAAAATGATTTCTCTTATTGAAAGATATTTTTGTGTGTGAAGAGAAGAGTCAGGAGTTGTAGTCACCATATATATAATAACGTGTTAATTATTACTACACTGTGCTCTATACAAAAACATTTATTGAGCTCCCCCTATCTGCAGGGTTAGGCTACACCCCTTGGAGCTCTCCAGCTAGTTA